AGGCCTGATTGCCCTAGGGAACCTGCCCTTTCCAGCACAGGGCAGCACCCACCTCCAGCATTATTTCAGGCTTAAGGCATTGTTTCAGGCTTAAGTCATGCAGGGGAAGTAAGCAACCAAATTAGGAGACTTTTCGAAGACAGGAGGACTCAGGCTGTGTCAAAGCCAAGGGATGAGGGTCTGTCACCCCCTTTTTCTATAGCCCCCTAAGTCCTTACCTGGGGGACCCCCATGATCGTGCCTGTCTTAGGTCAACCCTCCCTTGTGGAATCTTACCCATCATTGGCTAAACGATCAAGCATTGGGGGCCAGGCAGGGTGAAATAAAAGAGGCAGAGGCGGCACCCCTACCAGGGAGATAAGCTTTGTCTTCTTAGTGGCTTATGGTCTGAAGGTCACTCACTCAGCCTTAGCCATGGCGGGGGGGCACGGCAGGGGGGGGGGGTTACAGCTCCTGAAACCAGGCAGGGCAGTTCCCAACAGTGACTATTCCAGATTAAGAGGCAAAGAGGCATAACCAAATGTATGCATGAACCTTGATTATGTCCTGGATGAGAAAAGTTTTAAAGCATTTTGGAATAATAGGCACAACTTATTCCATACAGATGATCATATTAGCTATTACTGAGTTATTGTCAATCATCATCAGGTGTGGCAATGACATTGTGGTTTTATGTAGAATATCCTTATTCCAAGAAGATGAATACTTAAGTACTCAGGGATAGCAGTCACAACTCCAGTCAAACCAATTACATAGAAAAAGTGCATGCTGCAAAATGTTTACACTTGGTGATCCAGGGAAAGGTTATGCTACTGTGCCACCCTTTCACTTTTTCTGTGTATGTAAAAAAATGTTCAAATATAAAGACTTTTAAATTCTTAAAATTCAACAAGCCATTTGCATATGTCCATCTCTTTTATAAACATGACATCTGAAAACACAAAATTGTAATCAACCCGTGAATTAATATTTACTATGCTCTTACTTACATACGAATAACCATTGGGCTGGATTCCAGGAGCTATAATGGTGAAAAAAGAAATGGCCCTGCTTTCATGGAAACTACCTAGCATATAATTATCTGCTGGGTGGGGCAGCGGTTGCTCTGGAAGCCTTCCCTAACCCTAACCCTAAACTGAAACCTCAAAAAAGAAGTAGGTGCCGCAAAGCTGCAAGAGGATAGAGAAATGGGTCAGAGGTGTGAAGGCACTCGGTCAATCTGGAGAGTAATAGGAATACTTCTGGTGTTTCTCCCAATCTCCCACCCTTTCCCACATGTAGCCTTTCTCCTGGTTCCATTAACACTCCCTCCCCTCAAGTCTTCAGACCTAGGGGTAGTAATAACATGTACGTAAACATTACTAGTCCAGTGTTTCCAGTCTGGAAACTACACTCGAACTTAGGGTTTCCCTGCGCCCTGTGCACAGCCTTGTAAAGTCCCCTTATTAAACTTCTCTCAAATTATCCAGTTTTAGTAAGCCACCTATTTCTGCCGGCACCCAGCTAGAAAGCAAGCTCCGGAGAGACTTGGGAGACACCGGCATATTGTAGATGGTACTGGGACAGCGGGCATGGAAATGGTCCGGGAAGAGGGCTACAGATGAACCCTGGGTCAGTGGGCATCTAAAGTAGGAAAACCAGGAAACAGCAATGTTACTAGCCAAGAATATTTCAAGAAACTATCAATGGGATCAAGTGCTATAGGATTTCCCCATAAGAAAGCCATGAGTGGTCCTTGGACCGGTGGGGGCAGAATCAACATTGGAATGGAGGGTAAAGGTGGTTGGAGGCAAAAGAAAGACAAAAACAAAAACACCTGTTAACCTTCAAAATGAAAGAAAAAGACGTAATTGTTCAAGTTCCTATTTTAACTCTACCAGTGACTTGTTACAAAATCTTAAGATTTTTTGAGCCTTTAATTTTTGAGGGTTAAATATAAACTTAAACAGCCACTCTTCTCTGCACTTACAAAAAAAACAATACCTGCAGTGTTAAAGCTAATGTAAGTTACAGAAGGGTGGAGCATGTAAGTTCTAAAACAGTACATTGTACTCCCACCCACCCCACCCCCTTTCAGACACTGAGAACAAGGGCAGGCTTTGCCAAAATCTTTCATCTCCCTAAAGTGAAAGATTAAGCTCTTTTACACTGAAGCCTGCAACTAAGTATATCCAAGACCCCCCATGCATGGTACAATAAGCAGTTTCTAACTAGGATGCAAGATATTTGAAACCTAAGGCATTTTCACGATCACAATGAGTAACCAAACTCCACCACTGGAGAAATTGTTAGAACCCTTAGATCCCTTTCTTTGAGAACATGAGCCTGTGAAATTATCTATCTTTGATCCAATTCAGCTTTCCCCTCCCTCCCCAGTTCACTGAACATCACACAGGAATGACTGCCAGAGAACAATGCTAAGTCTGAGGCATCAGGAAACTGTACTGGGGACACTGGATCCAGAGGCTCCCAGGTATCTTCCATTCTCCACTACAGAGCGAGCAGTTAGTTCTGGCTACCTTCATTTATTTCTAAACTACCCAGTTGTTTCACTAAACCTCCTGGAGACTGTTTTCTCCACAAAAACACAGTGTACATTATGGACTTTCAACAGCAAAATTAAGAAATAGAATTTGGTTAACTGATTTAGACAAAGTTCATCCTCTCTACAAGGGTGAAGCTTGCCCCTCATTTTCAGCCTTCAGAAGAGACCCCGGTTACCACCTCCCAGTGCAGGGCGAGAAGGCACCCACCACCTACTGCTACAGCAGGAACAGGCTCAGTCTAGAGAGCAAGGCTTTGGAATCGGGAAATCTGCTTACATGATCTCCTTGCACATCCACTCACTCATGAACAGGTTGCTTTCTTTTTTTCCACCTCTGCAAAGGTTGTTTAAACACTGTTTAAACATGCCTGACCCATAGTAGGTGTTTGATAATGGGGACGCTTTTTCTTTTTACTTGCTACACAAAGCACTTGTGCTAGAGGTTTAAAAGGCCCGGTTTCAAATTATTAGGAAAAAACTGAGGCACTGTGGCAGACAAAACTCTAAGGCAAGGGTGTCGAACTTTTTCACTGGGGGCCACATCAACCTCATGGTTGCCTTCAAAGGGCTGAATGTAATTTCAATTCCTTAACAGTTAAGGAGTAGTCACATGTATAGTCCTAAAATTATTTCGGCCCTTTGAAGGCAACTGTGAAGCTGGTATGACCGCCGGTGAAAATGGGTTTGACACCCCTGCTCTAAGGTGTTCCATGTGATACCCATACTCCACCTCTGTGTTCATTGTGTAATTCTTCCCACTTGAATGTGGTCTGTACCTCAGGAGATGGTCCTACCAGCAGACTAGCTCTGGAGACCTGCCAGCTTGACCCAGTACAGGGCCATGTTGGAAGACAGCCAGAGTCAAGGAACTGAGGGGGTCCTCCACCCACTGAGAAGTCTGCACTCACCCTGGCTAGTGTGTCTCTGCGGGTCAGGTGCTGGCCTGTGAACTGAAAGGTCACCAGTTCCATTCCCTGGTTCCCCCGTCAGGGCACATGCCTGGGTTGTGAGCCAGGTCCCCAGCTGGGGGCATGCAATAGGCTAAGTTTCTCTGTCACTTTGATGTTTTGTGCTCCCCCTTTCTCCCTCCCTTCCCCTCTCTCTAAAAAAATTAAATCTTTAAACATAAATAATAAAACAAAAAAAATAATTAAAAAGTCTGAGATCTCCACCCTAAATCTACAGGAAATTAATTCCACAAACAACCTGAGTATGGAAGTGGATTTCTCTCAAGGCACCTGGTGAGAATGCAACCCAGCTGACACCATGTTGCAGCCTGAGAGACACTAAGCAAAGGTCCCAGCTATGCTGGGCCTAGAAAGAAACTGAGACAAATATCCTTCGATCCACTAAATTTGTGGTAATTTATTACACAGCAACATAATGTAGGTAGTCACCTTTCCACTATTCTAGGTTAATTTGGTAATGTCACAGAAACTAAACCAATAGCTAGCAAAATTACCTAATTACCCTAAAGCAAATTTAAACCCCTAACAGTAGCATAAAAAGTTCAGCCCATAGGATCCACATTTCCCAGCTAATCAACATTTTTGCCCTGGCTGGGCAGCTCTGTTGGTTAGAGCATCAGCCCAATATGCCAAGGTTGTAGGTTCAGTCCCCAATCAGGGCACACATAAGAATCAACCAGAGTGCATAAAACAGTGGAACAATATATCAATGTTTCTCTCTCCCCCCCACCATCTCTCTAATATCAATAAATTTAAAAAAATTTAAACCAAAACATTCTGTTTTTGAAACTTTGATATGGGTTGTACCTAATTGGATTCTTCATAATTCTGTGAATTCTATAAATTATTTTTCATAAGTTTGGAGGCTCACAAAGGCCAAGTGACTCAAATACTTAATAAGGGGCAGGGCCAGGAATTAGAGAACTCAGTTCTGACCCCAATGCCAAAATCCATCTTTCCCTGTAACCAATTTTTATAGTTTCTCTATTCTCGATGTTTTCCCCTATGTTCACAGAAAATAAATTCATATCAAAAACATTGTAAAAATGGATGGGCCCTGGCTGGTGTAGCTCAGTGGATTGAGCGCGGGCTGTGAACCAAGGCATTGCAGGTTCGATTCCCAGTCAGGGCACATGCCTGGGTTGCAAGCCATGGCCCCCAACAACCACACATTGTAAAAATGTACATTACACTGTATACCTGGAACTAATACAACTAATGTAGTATTATATGTCAACTACACTTAAACAAAAACAAAAAACCGCTGGAAACATTTTGCTCTTAATTGTTAAAATAATCTTATCTGCTAGGTTAACAATTATGTACAACAGTTACAATGTGTTTTAAAGTCTTTATTTTTCAGTAAAAAGGACTTTTTTCCTTCATGGCTTGTTATACTAAGACCTTAAACTCCTACCTGTGAAGACCAAAAATGTTACTTATTCTTACCTAAGAACACCTTTTGAACAAAGCCACAAAACAACTTCTTTTATTTTCTAATAAGACTAAATTTATTCAATAACCTAGTAAAAGTTTTGATTATAACAGTATAAAAAGTACAAAACAGACTTGTAGATTTCTAATATATTAATACAAAGTGCATGACTACATACAGTACATCCTACAGGCAAAGAGAGGTGGAAGGGGAAAGAAGACTGTGGTTGAGGTCTAGTAATAAATAAATAAATACAGAAGTAGAGATGATCCATATTATAGTATATTCTACCACCAGCACTGTAGCCAAAATGTACAAAAAAAAAAAAAGAGAACCATTTCAAAATAACTCAGAAGATGATGATAATGGCTGAGACTCTTGCAATACACCTAAAAGGCTGTGGGAGAGCCGCCCCAACTCACTGTGCCGTCTGTGCATACGGTAGCTTGTCGTTTCTTCCAAAAGGAATATAAAAATTTAAGTTTAGATTAAAAACTATAAAACTACAGGGTGCCCATAAAAAGTGGCTCACTCCTTTATTGTTATTTATACTACCCAATTTTTTTAAATCCAGCTTTAAAAATAAGCACTGAGTCATTTCATTAGAAGGCAGGCAACTGATCCTCCCTTGTCAGGAAAAGTGTGAACTGCTAATATTTTCCATGAACTCTGAGACAAGAGGCAATGAGAGCACTTTGGTTTGGGTTCCAGTAGCAGGCTTTTGATAAAGATTTTAGAACTGAAGGACCTCGCGTTCAGAATGTACGTCTAACATCGCGGTGTTGAGAAAGCTTGATTAGAAGCCAAACCAAAACCAACCCACTTAGCACTAACACACCTCTTTCTTGTATTAGAATTCTACTTTAACACAGTGAAAAAAAAACAAACCCAAGCCCTAATAGATTAGAACAAGTCAAACACTCTACACAGAAAAAACCTTCACAAAGGTCAACTGAAGTAATCCAGAGCTAAAACTGAATCGGGTAGATTTTCAGTGAAGTCACCAGTCATGGAGCACAAACTAAAGTCAGTTATTTACACACTCAGTGAGCCCTCTAAGAGATGTGCCCCAAGAAGCATTAACCTTTGTTACTGTGATGCCATCCTAAAGACGTACACATCTTATTTCTCAGACAATTTGACATTTCTAAGAGAGTGTGTGCTCTGTCGTGGGGCAAAGCTTTGGTACTACTCATGTGGGACCGCTCACCCTGAAGGCTTGCCATCTCCCCACGAGGAGCTCTGATTCTGCTGCAAAGGTTTCATGTAAGTTAAAATCTTCATCGAATATCCACATGAGGGAGGTGACACAGGATACAACATATATAGTCCAGTTTCCTCTTTGTATACTTAGAAAATTACTCCTTCAAGGTATGTGCAGAGAGCTAGTCTGTCCTGCTTAATATTCAGTAGTATAGGTTTGAATCATCAGAACCTTGGCCAGACCTTAATATTTCAAAATTATTAACAACTATCTCTAGGGGCAAGTCCAGGTTACTGAGTTATGACAAATTTATTATCATGAAGGAAACTAAGTGTAGTCAGCCATCTTTAAAAATGCCCCAACCACCGCTTCTCAATACAGAAAGACTAAACCTACAGACGTTTATTATACACCAAAATCCCACCTCAGTCCCCTGAAATTCCCCTAGTTTCATTAGAAGGGGATTTAAAAGAAAAAGACTTAAAGAGCACTTTACAGCAGCATTCAGCTTTCCTATGAAATACTCAGCATCTTAAATATTATGTACATGTCGTTTTTTCCTCTTAGTTAGATAGATACTGGCTTCATAGTTTGTGGAACTTGTAAAGATGAAGAAAAAATAACCCATTCAGAACTATTCTAGAAATTGTCTTTTGGCAGAATAGCGGGTATCCAAGTTAAAAATAGGAGGGCCATTTTGTTGCTGTGGGGGTTCCCCCCTAAAAGGTAAATCGTTTTTTGTTCCCCTTCTACGTAAACCTCAGTCACCACTCCTGAGTGGAGATGGGCAGAGGCTCTGGCCCCTGCTCCTCTGGCTTCTCAGCAGCCGCCTTCTTATTGCTGCAGCAAGGCTTGAATAGATGTGTGTCGATGAGGACTTCCCCAAAACGGCCTTTATAGATAATCCCGCAACATATTTTCTGCCTAAAAGAAAAAAAATGGAGAGAACAAAATATATTAGTAAGGCAGAAAAACAGGAATACAAAAAGAAAAAGAAATCTAGTCAACATAACAGCTAGTACAACTTGATCGAAAGGTTTACTTCCAGTCTCATCACATTCCAAATGAAAAAGGTTCCCAGAACAAACCCCAGCCAGCCAGGTTAAGAGGACGAGACAGGTCTCTTAGATCCCAGACTGAAATCTTATCAAACATTAAGGGGAAAGAAGGCATCCTGAGAGACAGCAGTCAGCTTCAGAAGCTGCTGCCAACATTGTAAAGTGTTTCCTCCAAAAATCACTAGCTCTTGAAGAAAAATAGCCACCATGAACAGGCTGACAGAAGTGGCAGTTTTATTATAATCACTTAGTAGACATAAATTATGTAACACAAAAGCACACAAAAATGACAACACAAAACACCCGTAGGTCACATACTCGAAGGAAAATGACCACTTCCTGTCAAGTCCCCCTATATGCCGCCCCCAGTCCCAGCCCACCCCACTCTTTCCTCCTCAGCTTTGGTTCTAGCACTCTTTTTAGACTTCATGGTTTTACCACGTGTGCATCTCTAAACACATTGCTTAGATACAATAATTCATAAATAATAACACAAGAGTACATTGTTTTGCATACCCACAACTGGAAACCCACTTTTTCCTCACCCTATCTAGCAGATCAGATTTTTTGCACAATATTATGGAATGTAGAAACAGGAAATCACACAGTATGCTGCCATTTTTTGCTCAGCATTAACTGAGATTCATACATGTTGATAAAGCTTTATTTCATTGTAACTTAAGTACATATTCCACCGTGGGAACATGCCACAATTTGTGCATCCTCTGTTGATGGGACAATTTGGGGTCTTACAAACATGCTGTGCATGTCAGCGCATGTATCTAAAGGTTTTTTCTAGGTTATGTTGTTGGGATACAGGAATGGGAACATGTTCGATGAAAACCCAAAATGCCAATAATTTATCGATGTGAACGCCCTTCTATTCTTATTATGCTATAGGTTTTATTTTAAACCTTGAAGGAATGTCCACATTTATCAAACATCTTCAACATACCACGAAGATGACAGGCATGTTTTCTCCTCTTTTAGAAACTGTTGATGTGGCAAATTATGTTAGTTGATTTTCTAATGTTTAAACCAATCTTCTATCCCTAGAATAATTTCATCTAGTCAGGGTATACTGTTTTGATGTCACAGTTAAGTCAGCGTCTCAGGGTGCTTGGGGCCTGTGCCATCTTCAATCTGCAGTCTGGAAAAGCCGGTGTAAGATTAGAACCATTTGCTCCCGAAGTGTTTGGTAGAACTTGTCTATCTGGGCCTGGAAGTTTTTGAGGGGAGGCTTTTAACCACTGAATTAACTTCTTTCTTATGAGATTAGTCAGGTTTTCTGTTTGTTCTTGATACAGTTTTAGTAAACTGTCTTTTTCTATTAATGTATGCACTTCACATAAATGTTCCAATTCATTGGCATGAAGTTGTTTATGATATCCTATTATCTTTTAAGTTTCAGTTTTAGCTATATAGCTAACTCTCCCTTTTCCTACCTAAACTGTGTGTACCATCTCTTATTCTTGGTCTGCTTTATCTCTAGTAATTTTTCTAGTCGGGGTTTTTTTTTTAAAGAACCAATACTTAGCTTTACTGATCCTATCCACTGCATATTGGTTTTCTACTCTATTTATTTCTACTTGTTATCTTTAGAATTTTCTTGCCTTTATTTTTCCTTATATTGAGCTTCATTAACCTTTAAATTGGATATACATCACTTCATTTACTTTTAGTCTTTCATTTATAAGCATTAGTGATCACTTTTCCTCTTTTTACCTCATTAATGTCCTACCACTTGTTTTGATTTGTATTTTTCAGTTATTTCTTTAGTTATGAAGATTTTCTAATTTATATTATACTTTTTTCTTGGAACCATGGTTTTTTAAAATTTCAACTATATGTAGGTTTTTTATTATTCTATTTTACAATTATGAAATTATCTGCCCTTCCCTTCTGCTCTGGAGGTTTTGTACTGATTTTTATCCATTCTTTTTTAGTGGTTACATAGTTAAACAAGTTCTAAAGTTTTTCAGTGTGTTTATTCTGAACAATGTGAAGGACATTTATACACCTTAACTTCCACCATTTCTGTTACCTTAACTTATATGCTATCGCTGTCATGTAATTCCTTTTTTTAAAAAATCCCACAGCTTTTGTCATTTTAAGCAATTAGTGTCTGTATAAATTTACCTAAATATTTGCTACTTTATTTTTACTCCCTAGAATCTCAATCTGGGATCTCTTTTTTCTGCTTGCTCTGCTGCAAAATGTTCGAGGGTCAATGTGGCAGCCACTCCCAATTTTTTCTGTAGTCAAAAAGTCTTATGTCAAGGCCCCGGCTGGGTGGCTCAGCTGGTTAGAGCATTGTCCCAATATGGCAAGTTTGTGAGTTCAATCCCTGGTCAGGACACATACATACAAGAATCAACCAATGAATGCATAAGTGAGTAGAACAACAAATTAATGTTCCTCTCTTTCTCTCCACCCCCACCTTCTTTCTTTTCTTTTTAAAACCAACTAAAAATAAAAATAAACATCTTAGGTCCTCATTCACAAAAGATATTTTTGACGGGTAGGTAGGGCAGGAGAGAGCAATAGGGGGAAGAATTAGGACAACTGTAATTAAACAACAATAAAAAAAAGATATTTTTGAGAGAGATATATATAATGCTAGTGTGAGAGTTATTATCTCTTGGCCCATTGAAGAAAATAAACTATTGTTTTCTGGCTTCCTTTATTCATGCAAAGAACTCACTGTGTATTTGTTGTTCCTTTGAAAATAATGTCTTTATTTGCTCACAGTTTAAAGGTCTATTTTGTCTTCCATGTTCTGTAGTTTCACTATGTCTATAGGTAAATTTTCTTTTCTCGTAAGACAATAGGTTATTTACTTTTGTTAGTCTTCCTGAATTTGTGAACTAGAAAATCCTTAACCACTTTCTTTTCGAATATTTTTCTCTTTCTGGCCTAGAGTCCCACATACTATTCCTTAGTATTGACCTCTTTTTATTCCTTATTAACTTGCCCACTCAGCAATGTCATTTTTAATGAATTGAAAATATGTATTTGTAGCCATTTTACTTTTTTCAGGGAGTGAGTTAGTCAGAATAAATACCTAAGTCTATTCATCAATTATAGGAAATTTCGGTTCCCTAACAAGGTTTTTATTTTTACTTTTTTAAAGATTTTATTTATTTATGTTTAGAGAGAGGAGAAGGGAAGGAGAAAAAGAGGGAGAGAAACATCAATGTGTGGTTGCCTCTCGAGCACCCCCCTGGGGACCTGGCCCACAACCCAAGCATGTGCCCTGACTGGGAATCGAACCAGCGACTTTTTGGTTCACAGGCCTGTGCTCAACGCACTAAGCCACTCCAGCCAGGGCACAAGATTTTCATTTTAAACCAGTTTAAATAGGAAATAGGAAACAGAAAATTCCAACCCTCAGCTCAATTCCTGCTTAGTCCACCTGCAACCATGTGTGTGCTAACAGTCGTCCTGCCAAACGCCCTTTAATTGCTGAAGAAGCGGGAAACTGTTGCCTGTAATTAAGAAGGTTGGTTGGTTAGAAAGGTTTTTTCTATTGCTTTTACCTTTTCCAGTACGTGAGATCTAAAAAGGAGAAAACAGGCGTTCTGTTAGAGCCTGAAGCCATCTCTGTGTCAGAGCCATCATCTGACTGGTTACTATAACAAGGAGACTGAGCGGGGGAGGCACTTGAGGTGGTACTGTGAGCATCAGAATCTGCAGAAAGATAAGAGAAAAAAATTATAATTTCACTATACGTAATTGCAACTAAGCCTCTGCATAAAATACTGTGAATGAATTAGCAAAAAAAGGGGGTGGAAATGAGAGGGAGGTGGGGAGGGCTGGGAGTAAAAGGCAGAAAACTGTATTTGAACAATTAAAATAAAAAAATAAAAAAGAATTAGCAAAAAAAAGAATTTATTTTCTATTCACTACTGATACTTGAAGATATTTATAGTAAAGTGTTTCTAAAAGAAAATGAAGATGTAAGCTTCCAAGAAGATAAGAGCAGACATATTTTCCCCCATTCCTTCTGTTTTAAGAATTACAACTAAAAGCCCTCACTATTACATATAAAACAAACCTAAGACTCTGGAAGTAAGCAACAATTAGAAAGCTTAAAACCCAAGGAAGATCATGGTAGTGAGTTCCCTAATTCTTATGAGCTTTCTTTTTTACCTCATGAATAGCCAACCCAGAAACACTCATGGATGCAGATATTAAAAACAAAACAAAACAAAAAAGCCTGCTCTCTAGAGTCAAAGGCCCAGGAAAGGGGCAGCCTAGCAAGGCAGGAAACTTTTATTAGACAATAACCACTCTACTCTGGCACACCACAGAAAAAACAGACCCAGCTTCACCCACCTCAGCAAAGGCCAAGTGGGGGAAGGGTCTAGGGTTGCATCCTCATGAGAGTGTTATGAAGCATTCAACACCTCCACCAGGGTGGTGTCAGGGGAACCCTGTTGAAGAGTCAGGACTTCCACTATGGCCCATCCAGGAATAGAGTCACGCGACCATGTGGGAGCCTTAACTCCCACGCCACCTAGCATCAATGCAGAGCTCCTCCCACCTCAGGTGTCAAAAGTGGTGGAGAGCTTGACTTGGAACACCACCTGGCAGGGACAAGGTGGTGCCCCTCCCCCACATCTTATGCTGGAGGTGTGTTCAGAAAAACCAGTTAAAACAGAAGGATTTAGATAAGATCAAGAGTCTCAAAACATAATTTTTAAATGTCCAGGTTTCAATCAAAACATCGTATCATATCCAATGCCTAGAAGATCTCAAACTGAATGAAGAAGTAAGGAGATATTAACACCAAATGACAGAGATGACAAAAGTATCTGATGAAAATTGTTTACAAAGATGCTTCAACAAGCCATTGGGAACATACTGGAAATAAACCAAAACAAAACCTCAGCAGATACGAGGTCTCAGAGTTAAAAAAAGGAGAAGAAGCTATAAAGAAAAACCAAGTGAAACTGAAAATATACAATAAATGAAATAAAAAGCTCAGTGGATATGCTCAAAGGCAGAATGGGGAGGACAGAGGAAGCAATCAGTGAAGTGGAAGAACAAACAACAAAAATTACCCAACCTGAACAACACAGAGAAAACAAACGAACAGAGCCCCAGAGACCTGTGGGACTCAAACCAAAGACCTACATTCACGTCAGTGCCATCCTGGAAGGAAAGGACAGAGGGCGGAGGTGAAAAAGCACTCAAAGAAATATAATGACTGAGAACTTGCTAAATTTGGCAACAGACATAAACCTATAGATTCAAGAAGCTGAGCACACACCCCAAACAGGATATACCCAAAGAAATCAAAGCCAAGACACATAACTGACCTTCTGAAAATGAAAGACAAAGAAAAATGACAGCTTACAACAGACCCCAATTTAATAATGAGTAAAGGCAATTAATCAGATATAAGTGAAATATGATTTAGTTAGTGTTCTTGCCCTCAGAAGACTTCATCTAAATCCCCAAGGCAGAAAGCAACTCTTTCGGCTGACAGTCACTGTGCTGTAAGGCGTTCTGCTGCTGCTATTCCACAGCAAGAGCCACACCACACAGTCAGGGGCTGAGCCAACCACAAGCCTTACCTTTAGCTAAAGATGATAGCCCTCCCACAACTGGGGAGAGCAGTCCTCCAATTCAGAGAACTAATAGAGTATTTAGTAACTATCCACTAGACACCAAAGTCTGTGTCGTACCCTGCATGGAAAGACACAGACTAAAAAAATCATCCTTAACAGGGCTCACAAGTGTTTTGTATTAACAAAAGTTTGCATAAAATAGCATAAAGTATCTAAAACAAAGAAAAGTGCCATTAGTGTTCTAACTGTCATTCATTTCTAACATATGAATAGCTTACCTTCATAATAAAACAAAACCTCAAGAACATCAAGCTTTAAATTAAAAAGTCTGATGAACTGCTCTCAAATAGTTAAAAGCAGCACTTAGCTCTCTGCTGCAGAAACAAACTCACTTTCCTGGGAAGTACTTCGTATCTATGAACCACTTGAGATTACAGTTATTTGACCAGTTTCTACCTACACAAATGATAATTTCATAAGGTTTAATCTGATATCTGAGATACTAGGATACAACTTAATTATATACAAACACAGTAAGAAAAACTCTCTTCTAGAATGTTAGTCTGGAAATTCTTCAAAGAACTGCAATTTTAAAACGCAAACAGGATTTGGGAAGGCACAAAGGAATAATTAAGACAGCATGGCATGGAGTAGGCAGGTACAATGAACAAAATTGTGGAAGCAGAACACACTATGCACACAAAGGCAACTAACAGCCCCAAATATTCTTCTAAGACAGGACCGCCAGACCCTGGTTGGGTGGCTCAGTTGGTTACAGTGTCATCCTGATACACCAAAATTCCAGGTTCAGCCCTGTGTCGGGGCACATACAAGGGTCAGCCAGTGAATGCATAAATAAGTGGAACAGCAAATTGATGTTTCTCTTTCTCTCTCAAAAAATCAGTAAATAAAAAATAAAATAAAGTAAAACCTACAAAGACTTGTTAGGAATTTTCAACTTTATTCTACGGCACCCAGAAATCATTGCAGATTTTAGGAAGAAGGATAAGAAAAAAATAGCTAACATTTATATAGGACTTTATTTCATTTTGTTAAAAAAAAAACAAAAACCTCCTTCTACTTGTTACCCCCCATTTCTCTGATTAGGAAATTGTTGCTAAATCAATGTTAGGTGACACCAGGGTCACATATTTGTGTCAAGAACTGTAACTCAAATCCAGATTTTCAAGCTCTACATCCAATCCTTTGGAAAGAATGTCTCAGGAAGAGGAATGCAGGTCAGGTACAGGCAGGATGCACGGAAGCAAATATATAACCAGAGGCAAGGAAACTATTTAGAGGGTGACGGATAAAAATTCAAATATCTCAAAACTGTTTGGTAAATTGCACACAGGTGCTAGCAATTCACAATGCACCTGGGAAAACCCTGTTTAAGTCTTAACCTCCAAAATACACACACCTTACCTTTTCAAAGGGACTTATTTTTCAGTCTCCAACCCCTCCACAACACAGCTTTATCATAAAAATCTAAAATTACACTGGACATATTCCCTAAGTAAGGAAAAAGTTAGTCACTTATGACTATCCCTGTAATTAAAGGGAGGACCTTAGAATATATGTATGAATAGTTAATTCCTCTAACCTTTAAGTGATGTAAGAAAACTACTGTTTCCCAAATGTTTATTAAATCATCTAGTGAGAATGGAGAGTAAAGCAGTCTTTCTTTTTTCCCTTACAGATATATGGTAAATAAAGGAATATGTATCATTAAAACACACATATCTGATATTACCAAAATACTTTACTATAAATGTATTAAAATATTTTAGTCAAAGATTAAGTACAGGGTGGGGCAAAAGTAGGTTTACAGTTGCTCATATGGAAAACAATACAATAATCAATAAATAATAGTACAAGAAGAATAAACTATTTCATGTACTCATACCTGTACACCTACTTCTTCCCCACCCTGCACATCAGCAGAGTAACTGGGGACTGATAACACCCACCTACTCCAGAGCACAAAGTCAGTAGCAGGTCTGGAAACACTTGGGCGCTCTGAGAGTTTGGCTACACAGTAGCAGACAACAAGATGGTACAGAAGGAGCGCAAGGCTTGAAAGTGAGACTAACAGGAGGCCAAGTTCATCTCTACCACTTACTAAGTGACCTGGGTCAAGGTTAAATCACCACACTGTAGTTGCAAGGCTAATCTCTACAACAGAAATCATTGAGATAATCATGTACGTGAAGTACTGGGTAAATGTACCATAGTGCTCACGGGATGGTAGTTATCATTCCTTCCTCAGTCTACCTGGACCAGTAAATTTAACTGTCTTTTTCCATTGCTCCAAAACAAGCATTGATTAATATTTTGTCTAACAGGGTCCTACAGATTTTTTTAAATCCTGAAAATTATACAGTACAGGTCATAACCCATAGCTACAATTCTGGAAAAGCTCTGACAACAGAAAGTTTATTCCTAACCCATGTGGCCACAATATCTGGCTTGATCTGAACTATAATTAGGGAGCCAAACCAGACTAGCCCATTTAGTTTATTCCACTTATAGGAACACTATGTGAATATTTATTCCACCTATGTGAGTACATTTTCACTGCAGAAATACACTTGTGTTTGATTAAATAGCACTCCCTCAGACTTCCCCATCTGGGGGTGGGGGAGAGGTGATACAAATGCTACATAATAGCATTATATGTACTGCATTTCCTTTTCAAAATCTTAAATCTAAATTCTCAAATACAAAAGTATCATTACAGGTGCACTACCCGCAACAACTTCCTATAAGGGTTTATGAACCAGGTATTGATTTGTCATTCCTTTGCCATTCCATCACCCCACACCACACACACTGCCCCCTAAACGTCAAAGTCTCGAGGCTGGCTTTACTGCAATGTGTGAGTTATGATTTCTAAAGTTACTATCCTGGGCTCTGGCTCAGACTGTCCACTAATTATTTATGTACCTTTCTGCACATCTCCAGGCCTCAATACCCGTATGTATAAAATATCAAGTAAACAAGATGGAAAAATGTATCTTCTAGAAAATTAAAATGTCAATAAAGAGATCAAAGTGGTCTCGGCACAATTTGAAGATGCAGCTTACTAAGTTTGAAGAACTTTTATGATATCAAAACCAGGGACAAAGTTCCACAATTTCATAGAAATGGTATCTCTGCCAAGTCAATGATCCCTCCCCAACACTTTTCTGCCCCAACACTCTTTTGTAATAAAAGAAAAAATGATTCATACATCGCATATGCCACCCTCAGGCAAAAATGAAAACAAAACAACCATTCTTAAGCATTCAGGTTTCAGTATCAAACTTACTGTGACGTTTAAATTCCTTCTGCAGTTTGCTGATCTGGTTGCTTTTTATCCTGTTTCCAGATAGAGTTTTCACTTTCTTTGGTTTCAGCGTAGTTTTCAGACTGGGTCCTGCCCTTGCATCTACCACCTGGGAGAAAACACTAAATATTTAATACCGTTTAAAAAATGACACCTCTGTATTTCTTTGGTTCACACAAATGCCTATTTGAAGTAGCCCAGTTGGAGAACCAGTTTTCTACGAGAGTATCTGAAAGGCCACATGTACTTTGTGATCATTATGTGGAATATACAGTGTATCTCTAACTACTACACTGCACACCTGAAACTAACACAATACTGAATGAAAAGTAATTGAAAAACAAAAGAATAATTTATATAGCAGGGTTTTATTTTTGTCTTCTGTAGGATTTTTGTTGTTGTTGTTGTTGTTTTTGAAGTAGGTAACAGCAGAAGTCTGCTGGACAAAAACATTATGGAGATTTGTATATGGTGAGAATGACCCAAGTAGGTTAAGGAAAATCAAATCTAACAACTAACACTTTTACAGAACGTTTTGCAGTTACTTTACAAAAAGCTTTCATATACTTTTGATTTTACCTTCACCGCAAAGCAGTAAGGGGGCTATTTTTGTTACTCCAACTTTAGGGCAAAGGAAAACAAAAGAAATTAAATTATTTACTTTGCCTTATGTCACTAAGCTGGTGAAATGGGCAAGGGTGAGCGGGGAGGAGGACAAGACACAGATCAAGGTGTGCAGACCTATGCTTTAAGCTCTGTTCACCACACACCCCTCGTCTCCAAGGCCACGTGCAGGACGGCAACGGCATGCTCCCCCAGCCCAGCATGCGCACTGCCTTGGCCCCGTGCAGTCCAGTTTCTCACGCATTAATTCATAATCACTAGTTGCAGGTTTCTACCCTTACATAGAAAGGTTGCCATTACCTTCGAAATCACAATTTGTATCTTCTCTAGATAAGGTATACAAAACTAATTATTTATTTCATAAGTTAACAGACCCTCAGAAACATAGGTATCATAATAATGTAAGTCACCAAAAGGTAGTATAAAGTATGAGAAAAAAGGTAAAGAATAAATGACTGCCAGCTTAAAAACAAATATGTAAATGTCAAAATCTTCTAAAAGCTAGCAAACAGAAGAATTAAATAAGACAGTGTTGTTTGGGTAGTCAAAAATATTTTATAAAGAAGTCTAGTGACACTATAAAGTGAAAGGTAAGAACACATTTATATACCAGTTTGACCCCAACTAGAATTAAACGTAGAGAATAATGATACCTTTCATTTAATTGCATCATTACTATATTATACTTTGTCTCGTTCAGTTCTCACAACACCTCTGAGACAGCATTATCTTTACGCTTTATAAATAATTGTAACTTGCCCAAAGTAGGTGATGAAGGCAGGATTCAAATCCAGTTCTGATTCAGAAACCTACGTGTTCATTAGTACCAACATGAGTTAGGGTAAATGTCATCTGAGAGATGAAAAAGGGATCCATGTCTGATTAACTTTAGGAATTTCTGGGTTAAACCTAAAGATGTGTGAAATGTATGTTGTCAATCTCTGAAATGGGGATGTTGGATACAGCCTCAGGGAGACGCCATACACCAAGTTATGTTTTTCCAAACAGGACAAAATGTAAAGTGATGATATCTGAGCAGCAACTGTTTTCCTTTATTTTTTTTTCCTACTTTTCCATCCTAGGGACATATTACTTCCTAAATTAGGGAGGAAACTACTGTTACTGTAAATAGAGCAGAGGTATAACTGAGAAAGATGACAGATGCACTAACATGATTCCAGTTTTTTTTTGATCCCGCTGGCAATTTCTTCCATCTTTTCACAAGCAGAACACAGGCATTACAGATGTCTCCCGAACGAGTCTCGTGCAACCTAGTAAGAAAACAATCAAGCCTTTATTGGTCTCCTTTACATTAAAGAATTCCAGCAAGTACACTCCTTTTAGAAAAAAATTATATCCATTTATAGTTTATAGACGCTATTTCTAATCATTCTGGATGAGGCAGCTCCACTGCTTCTGTAGTATATTTCAGAAATACAATTAACTTCTAGATCCAATGAAACCAAAATTTTATAGACTGCAATTTGGTCATTTTAAAATAATGTTTTTTTTGAAATTTAACAAATAGTAAACTTTAGACCTAGAGGAGATCCTGGTCACCATGGTTTTAAACAATACTGTGCAATTAATCTTTCTTGAATTTCACAAGCAACCAAGTGCCACCCTTAAAAATAATGTGCAGTGGTATTCTAGTTTCACAACAAACGAAACCAGAGGCACTATACTTTTTTAAGAAGTGATTTTATCTGCATAAGGGGAAAAAACCTTTAAGAGTAGCCACTAAGCTGTTTTTAAATCCCATCTGAGAAACTTACATTTACTACATTTGTCCTGTACTAAATACATCAGAAAATACTAATAATATTTATTATGTACACAATTAGTAATGAAGGCATTAAGAGGAAAACGTCACTTATAAATACAAAGTCCAGGATTAACAATAAATAATCAACAAATATTTTGATAAAGAAAACAAAGTGGTAAAATTAATTTCTAACATGGGAACTAGTTGAACATTAAGTGTTTTATTTTACCTAAGGATTTGTTGGAAAGGAAATTCTACCTCATTCAGCAAAGGAATGTTGTCAAAACATAAAGAACAAAAGTATAAAATAAATGCTAACATACCCTGACAGGTTTCAGGGAAAAACACAATCTTATTACTCTCCTGAGAAGGTTGGGTTAAAATATATTTCTATAATTTAGAAAAACACACAAAAACCCCCCAGAAAACTACTGGAGGATAACTATTATAAGAGAGAATAAGGGTAATTTTTAAAAATCTTTATACATACTGAAGTTAACAGTAAAAGGATTTGTTTGGTTATAACTTCAAAGGGTTTCACAATTAATTTGGTGGGTTTCTTATCTGAAAAAAGGTGGGATGTCAGTATCTTTGATTGGCTTTAAGAGCAAGAGCCTTAAAAGAGCCTAGATTGGAATGTAAGTGATATTTTAAATATTACCACACTGCTCCAATCACCTTATTTGGGAATATTCCCACACAATGGGACCTTTTCCACTCTAAGAATGGCACAAACATCAGATGCCCTTACCCAAAACAGCTCTGGAAGTCCTTTTCATAGCGTTTACTGTCAGTGAATCGAGAGCTGGAGGACTTAGCTCTGCAAATACAGCAGCCTTCTATACTTCGGTACATCTTTGGCTTGTGAAAACCAAACATCTTTTCTTCTGGGCAGTAGTCTGTAAAGCCAAGGGAATTGACACAGCTTTGTTGAGGGCTATTAACAAGAAACCATTAAAAGAGAGAATGAGCTCTCTGCTACACCCCGCCCCCAGCAACTTGGTATTACATGGCCAAGCCAGAGAGGGTGGCTCTGGGAGAAGACCCTCCAGGATCTTCCTCCATTCTTGGCACTAGCATAACAAGTGTACAAAACACACTGAATAGCTCAGTTATTTAACAAGGCCTCTACTATCTCCTTCTACCTACCTGGCAAACACTCATTCTAAAAATAGGGGATGGGAGGCAATTTTTAAAAATTAAGTCTTAAGTAGAAAATAGAACAAACTCTCTCCACAAATCTTACAAAGTGATGGAATCATGCACAATGAACAACAGGCCTTAAAATTTAAGCTAATGCACCATCCTTTATTCTGCACCTTTGCATTCATGTGATTCCCCTGTGGGGAAGTTTTGAGCACTTACCATGATCACTACTTGATATTAAGCATACAAGTAATGCACCACCCACACTACTTTTGCCCTATGGGAAATGAGAGGGGATTTCTTCTGTGATATATGGGAAGTTCTAAGCTGGCAAGTAGGCCCTGAATTGAAACTACTGAAAGGAGGATGTAAAATTCACAAAAATCCAGGGTTAGAACTGAAGAATTTTAATGTCACAAGCTCAGGTTGTCAGACTACTTACTGGTCGGCCTCTCAGCTGTTACAGAGGTTTGGGGAGCTCTTTGATGAGATGCTGCGCCTGAGAACAGTAGTAGTAGGAGGCAGATATTCACGAAATGTACAGCAAGGTAAATTGTGACTCAGATGATCAGAAAATCTTAACATCACACAACAAAGGAAGAAACAGCTCTGGAGCTAGATGCAGCAAAACGTGTGGCTAGCAGTAAGTATGCACCTAGAATACCTTAAAATATACAAACCAAGGACCAGCTTTACCAGAACACCTGGACTACGAGAGGTGATGAAAGGCAGTGAATATAGAAACTAAACCCCACGGACAAGTCCAGAGGGTGTGGGTGTGTGGATGAGACCAATTACAAATGATCACAAAAGCATCACATAAAGCACCAGTGAGAGAAAAGTATTAATATGAATTAGATCTGTGCCCATAGTTTTAGGGCTTATAACCACAGAACACCATCCTCCTTTTCAAGTTCTTTCAGAAATACCCTGGAATAGACGCATAAAACAAAATCTTCGGTGTTTGTCTTTGAATAATCTCCTGCCTAACCCCATTCCATTAATTCTGGTTCATGTACCAGACCAAATACTTATGAAAGTGACTCAGAGAAATAACCAAATATCCAGACTTTTTGTTTGCACATGTGTGAAATTGAGGAGTTCTGAAATATAGAGGATATACAATTTATTTTTAAGAAGGTATTTTATTAGCAATTAATTAGATAAACACTGAAGTTTTCCTTCTACACAGAGACTACTGTCTCTCATGTCACCACATGTTCACTCAAGGGTTTGTTGATGAGGGATGCAGGCAGAGGAGGGGGACGGGACGGGGCAGAAGGCCAGGGAGTCACTTCAATTAAGTCTTCAGTTACTTCAATTTAAGAATTGTTAAAACAAGAAAACAAAATATTCTTAATTATTCTTCTTAAGTTAAATACTTGGGAATTTGATATTTTTGAGGGGAAAAAAAACAAACAAGGAAGGTGCTGTATCTATAGTAGAAAAAGGTATACAGTGAGGCCTGTGAAACAAGGTGGATATTTTTCTTCAAACTAACAACAAACCTTCATGACAAATGAAAAGAAAATGGCCTCCTAAAGAAAACCATTCTGTGTTGGTTGCTTTGAAACAATGTCAAATGACACAGGATTATAGAAACTTCTTTAAAAGAAGTGCTCAGAAAGTATAAGTTATTGCTTTACTTTGTGTTTTATATTCCTGTTTTTGAAGCAAAAACGTAATATACCTCTTAGTCCTCACACCAACCTGTGGGCTCTCCAAAGTCCCTGAACACCCTCTGTTACCATCAAGGAGGTCAAAAGTCCACAATTCCTCTTACAGTTGCCAGTTTCATCAATAGCCCTAGGAAACTTCAGCCTCCTTTCTCAGCAAGGACAAAGGAAGTACAGCAGAAAGGCCAGTTCATTCCATTAACACACAGACCAAATCCTATTACAAAAGACAGATTCCTATCGATACCCTCATAATCCCCACTCCTCCCACAAGTAAACATGCCGTCAAAACTGCCCGGCATTCAGATCATCTCCAAGATATGAATTTCCTTCACTGAGGCTGGACTGGACCAAGAAACCATAGTCTGGGCCAGTTATCAGGCCTGCAAGCTGTTGTTAAGGAATGCAAGGGCTACCCAGCACTCTGGACTGAGGACACACTGAGGCTTTCCTTTTCATCAGCTGCTCCTGTGAATCAAGTGTTCATTTCCAATTTTGGGGGTGGGTGGGTGGGGATCTCCACAAAACTTACCCAATAGCTCCCCCTGTAAGATAGTTCATTCTTCCGTTTGAAGAATATTTTTCTTAAGACATCAGGGAAACAAAAAATGGCTTGATGTCTTTTGATTGACAATCCTTTTTGCAGCTCTGGGAGCTTGTGTCTGTCCTGACAAAATTCTTCTGCCCGAACATCTGAGAGGGATCCAAATCCTAGGGTTCATCCCCTTCTAGGACGTACTAAACACAGTAGTGTCATACACTTGTCCTAATGCAACACACAAGCAGCACATGAGCCTCCTAAAGGATGGTCACATAATAAACCTAGTAAACCTTTTCTGCGCTTATTTCTGTACTTGAGAGGCCCCTGGGAATCTGCAGGAATACACAGGGGTTTCACTCTGGGCTTTGTTTACAGCAACCCCATTAAGCGGAGGTTGCTGTTTAACCATTTTGAGCTTTGGAGAGCCCAGAGATGAACTGAAAGAATTTTCACAAAATCTACAGATGCACTATGGCTTTAAAACAAACAACAACAACAACAAAAAAAATCTAAAAAAACCTACCTGATCTTGGAAGGAAACTAAGGACACAAAACGGCTGTGAAACCTAGTTACTTTGTATATTTAAAGAGTGAGCAAAAAGGTGGGCGTGGCACAACTTGGTCACAAACTTGGTATTTCTGTTATTTCAACAAACCTTGTGATTCTTGAGAAGACTCCTTTCCTAGTCCTGCATTTGTACAATATTAAATGATTTCTCCAGCACAATCTACTTTATTTGTTCAAATGACACTGTCAGCTATTAAGAGTATTTGTGGCTTTTGCATCTTTCATCCCATCCCATCACTCAGCACCATCGTGTTTTTTAATAGAAGGAAGCCAACACTGCCTACTTCCTACCTGATGAACAGTTAGTTACGCATGAGAACGGAAGAAAAATTAAGCTTTGAGACAAAGCCAAAAACAACAAAAGACTTAAAATGCTGATTAAAAACTGTCATTTGTCTTCTAAACTTAAGATAGTGGTGATGGTTGTAAAACTCTAAATGTACTAGCAGCCACTGAATTGTACTATTTTAGAGTAAATTTTATAGTATGTTAAGTATATCTCAATAAGCTTGTTTTCAAAAATAAAAATAGGGGAGAGCAGGGACAGATGAAGGAGGACAGAGGAGGAATTAACCATGATGGAGAGACTTGACTTGGGTGAACACAGAATACAGTGGTACGGATGATGTGGACCTGTGGAATTTTATAACTAGTGTCACTCTAATAAATTCAACAAAAATTAAAAAATAAAAGTAGAGTGGGCTAGGAATTCTTCTGTCTTTATTCATCTTTGTAACCTCAACATTTATAATAGTGCCAGTCACTTAGTAGATATACTCCATAAACTTTTTCGAGAAGCTGTCATTTGCAGAGCACTTCATGTTTCACTGACATTTCTTTGGCTACTGTCAGTCAAACAGTCACAAAAGTTTATAATACTGTAATAGTTAAAGACAAATCAGCCACACTAAAATTACTGTTCTGTCTAATTTATTTCAATCTTCCAAAATTAAAAAGATTAAATAGCTGAGTCAGCAAAAATCCTAAAAGAAATTAACTGATTATATGAACAAAGTATTATACAGACAACAGAAAGTGAATTTTTAAAATGTAACAATTAATTTGAAACATTTTGATTGATTTGTTACGGCTTCTTCTACTTTAACGCTGTAATTTCATATAAATCTAATGAAACAAGGGGGAATGCAACCTTAGTGTTGGGACAAGGAAAAGGTGAGATAACCACTGTATATCAAAGACACAAAACAGTCTATTTGAAACTAATCTAATGAGATTATGAAGCCAAAGATCAGGGTCAGTGTCGTATTTTACATTTAATTCAACACACATAATGTCAGTTTACTGACTACAATATAGCATACATGGGAAAGAAAAGGAATCTTCACTCAATAGCTAATACTGAAGAGATTGTACTCAAGGAAATGTCTTATGATAAATAATTCTAAGCTTTAAGATGATCTCTTGTAAGTTTTCAGCCCTTTAAAAGGATGCAGTATATCTATGACATTTGCAGGGAACTAGCCAAGATATTTTGTCTGGTGCAATAAGCAAGTTGAATAATAGTTATATAGTACAATTTCATAGCATGTTTTTAGAATGAGATCTCAAACTGGCATTTTGAAATAGATTTTTAAAAACTAGTAACTAGTGGTTGCCTCCGAGGGGTGCAAGAATGAAGGAAGATTACTTTCACTTTACTCCTTCTATATTGTTTTTTTTTTAATTCAAGAGTATCATGCTCCCAAACCTTAAGTTAACATCATACAACCTTGACCTAACTAAAGATGAATCTGAAAAAGCTTAAACAAAGTTTCTCAGAGACATACAGATGGAGAAACACATTAGGAAATATATTCCACAGGACAAGAGTACAGAATACACTAGTAAGGTCAGAATAAACATAGAGCAGAATGGAAAGGAAACTGCTGAGAAGAGACAAGCAAAAGTTTTGTAAAGTGAGAAGGAAACAGTAGTGGAGAAAAAAAAAAGACAAAAGGAACCAAGCAACCAAAGACAACTTTGAAGTGAAGGAGATTCATTTCTTTAGAGCTGATTCATTCCTTTAAATCATAAGGATGGGAAAGGAAGAGAAATAAACATGAAAAAAGTCTGATGTAAAGCTATGAACAACCTTTAGCTGCTGTAATTGCCAATGCTACCCTCCTCCACACACACCATTTTAGTCAATGGTATGCTATCTTTAATCACATATAAGTACAAGATCCAGTAAACGCTAACAGTGTAACTAGAGCAACACTCTTCACAAAGAATCAAATAGGACTAAGTGTTTTGTGTTCTCTGGCTGCTAGGCCACTTGGTTGCGGTATTCCTCAACAACGAGATGCGGCTGGTTCATCAGCACATAAGGAAAGCCATAGAGCAATCAAACACTTCGTTCCTTTTCACCGGCTTCTAGATACCAGTCCACATCCCAGCATCAAAGGTTCTGGATTTTTTAAATCACTTTTGAGGGACAAATTTAAGCTTGCCTGGAGGAAAACTGAGAAGGAGGTGGTAGACCCCACTTGTTTCCAATAGCTTCTCCAAACATATACTGGGTCTTTGAGAAATTCTATGGTACAGTATTTATAACTGTGGCTGCCTATGGAATTCACACTTTGCAGAAAAGCCCAGAACTCATCCTAACAGTTAGGAAATGTAACTATTGTGAATCTGGTGAAAAGAACACTGTAATTACTTAAGTTGGAGTCTATTTCTGCTTTTGTCTTTATAACTGAATAGGAAGTCACTTC